GTGGGCCCGGCAGAGCGCCCGGCCCCGGGACCAAGCGGGACCCACGGCCGCCCTCCCTGCTGCCTGCTCGGCGCATGGCCCCTTCTCACGCCCTTCCCGCCGGCGCAGCAAGGCCATGCCCCATCCCAACAACGTCCCCCAGGATCCCATCCACCATCCTTCAGGATACTGCAGGATCCCATCCACCATACCACAAGATCCTGCAGAATCCGTTCTGCCCTCCTGCAGGATCCCGCAGGATCCCATCCGCCATTCCACAGAATCCTGCAAGACCCAGGCCCAGGAGCACAGGACACTGTAGCGCTGGTGCCAGCCATGTCCCTTGTCCCCAGCAGACCTGCAGCTGGGCGGCATCGTCCCCATGGCCCGGCCCAGCTGCAGCTGGCAGGAGCCACGTGCCCATGCAGGGCTCCTGCCCTCCAGGGCCTGTGCTCTGCCAGTCATTACAAATCAATGCATTTTCTGATTACAAATACTCCCCACGTCACAACTGCCACAATGCGGCCTTGTTGTTGTGGTATTTATTTTTAAAGAGAACAATATAGCAGCAGTGTTGCTGCAGCACCCCGCACACTGTGCAGCCACGTCTTCCCTCTCCATGTTACTGAAAACCACAGCAGCCTCCCGCCGAGGAGATAAACAACCCGGTCCAGCCGAGGACGCGGGTTGGCGGTTCCGGGCAGAGCCCAGGCTTCCCGCGGGGGCCCTGCAGCGCAGCGCTCGGCTGGGGACAGGCCACGCGGGATGGCTGCATCAACCCCACCGTGGCTGGGACATGCTGGGCTCGCCCAAGCAGTTCTCCATCCCTGTCCTCGTGCAAAGCAGACGCCTCCCTCGCGCTCAGGCCTCAGCTGCCCCAGCGCTCGCCTCTTCCTGGCTCCCGCAGACCTTACGGCTGCTTTCCTCACGCAAGCGGCAATTCTTCCAGCTGAGATGAAGCTGAGGCTGCACACAACAACCTGGAACAGCAGATGTTCCTGGGACGGCACTGCCAATGCCTCGAGCATCCATCCTTGATGGAAACGGAACCCAGCTCCTCACACAGTTTATGAACTTCTGCAAGCAGCAGTAATAATTATGAGAAGATTAAATGTTCCCAAAGCCAAGGCAGAAGGACCTCTCTGCAGCACCCAAACACCAGTGTGAGCTTTGCTCCAGCACCGCAGTAGTGCCTTGGCAATGCCACCAGCACCCGCAGTGACTCTCACCCAGCAGGGATGGTGATGGGGTCATGCAGCTCCATCCCAAGCCAGTGTCCCACAGTGTGCCTGTGTCCCCAGGGAACAGGGCACTCCACATCCCCAAACCAGGGTGTCCCTATGGAACCAGGTACCTGGTGTCCTCAAGCCAGCAGTGCGCTCAAAGCTGCTCCCAGTTGCTCCCTTCCAAGTGAAAGTGAAATGTTCCTTTATGGGCTCTTATGTTGGCTACAAAATGTTCCATTTTATTTTTTCCTCTCCTTGCTTTCTTCCAGGAAACGTGCTAATTTATGGCATAATCTTGGCAAATCTCAATCCAGGGGAACACAAATCTGCTTGTGCCTCGTAAATGGTGCTTTAATGGGCTCCATCAACAGCAGTCCGAGGAATCTGCATCTAAAAGGGGGGAATTATCATCCCACTTGTGTGGGGCAGCGTGTGGTGCTGCGCATGGGCAGGAGTGAAGCCTGGCCCCAGAGTGGCCTCTGGAACTAGGGTCTGGAGCAGGATCTGGCTGGGCCCCGTCTCCCTGTCCTGGCAGGAGTGTTTTTATGTGGCGATATCCAAACGAGGCCAAGCTTCTCCTTGGCTCTTCCGGTGAGCAGCCTGACCAAGCTGCCAAAAATAAATCTATTTAATGAATAGCCTTTGTAAATTATTCAGATATCATATCCCGTGCCAGCACCGGCTCGAGGAGAGATGTTGCAGAGAGACCTTCTTCTCTGGAGTGCTGGGTGCCAGGGGGAAATCACATTGCTGCCACAAAGAAAACACCACAGGGACATGGGGACAGGGGACATAGGGACAAGGGACAGGGCCCTGGCAGTGTGTAGCATCTAGAGCCTGATGCAAAGTGGAGGATCCCATAGCAGTTCATGCCCAGGAGTCACAAGGCCAAAACACAGAGTTTTGCCTTGGCCTTGCAGAGCTGCACTGAAATTCCCTCCCCTTCTGCAGCCCTGTGCTCCTGCCATTGGCATTATCAACTGTGGCAGTGGGACACGAGCAGCAGCACCGAGGGACGGGTGTGCAGGCTGCGTGGCCTTGCCATGGCTCCACTTCCCTCGCTGCAAGCAGGCAGCAACAATGTACTGATTTTAAGGTCAGAAGGCCTCGTCCTGGCTTTGCTCACACCTGACGCGAGGCAGATAATCTCTCTGGGGGCTCCTGCATCGTGCTGCTCCCTGCCCTGCGCGAGTTTCACATGCAGCTGCTGCACTGGAGCACCCTGCCTCCCCAGAGCGGCTCTGCCCTCAGACCTGTGCCTGCAGCTGCAGCCCTTCCTGCCTGCAAGGTGGCTCTGGGTGGCAGAGGAGCCGGCGGCTGCGGTACTGTCAGTGCCCGGCACGCGCAGGGACACCCCATTGGTCGTGTTTGCTTCCTCCCTCCAGTCCTGCAGCCTCTCCAACCTCCTTTCCATGGATGTCAGGGGGATATCCAGGATGGCAGAGTTGGGCGCACTAGGGACAGAGCAGCTGGGAGAGCAAGTGCCCTGGGGACAGCGGAGTGGCAGAGTGAGGCACCCTGGGGATGGAGCAAGCAGGAGAGCGGGGCGCCCCGGGATGGAGCAGGAGCGCTGGGGCTGGATCGGGAGAGCCGAGTGCCTGTGCTGGCAGAGCAGGCCCAGAGCAGAGGGGCCATTTGGCTGCTGTGCAGGGAGGCGGAGGGCTGGGGCCTGTGCAGGCCGCGCGGCGCGGCGCGGTGCTGCTGCCCTCTGCTGAACGTGCTGGGGCCGCGAGGGCTGCCCGCCCCATGAGCCCGGGCCCCTCGTCCCGCTCCGCAGCGGCGCAGGGTGGGTGGCAAGGCGGCCTGGTGGCCCCTGCTGCAGCCCCCGGGCCCACCTTCCCCTCCTGGTGGCTCCGCGGCTGCAGCTTGTTG